TATATATATATATATATATATATATATATATATATGACAATAATAATCAAACAAACACCCACAGAACAACTAAAATTGGGGTATGAACTAAATAGTGGAACTTATGAACGTGTCTTAGTGAGAGGTATCTGAAGTTAGTATGACACACGATCTATCAGAAGTAGTTTCTATTAACACGTCTTACATGGGAAAAGAAATCACAGATTTAAAACCAGAAGCATGCATGGGTGTTCAACAGATTACTCCTAAACTACCATTTACCCTTAATTGGCATCTCTCATACTTGAATCTCATTAATCACTTCACTAAAAATATTCTCACTTTTACCCCAATCTGTTAATTTAAAATGATATTTCAAAACTAATTACAAATCTTAAAAACATTATAAATTTAAGGTTTCTCATCACAATGTTTTCTACTATTTGTTACTTAATTCTGAATGCATAGATAATGAATCTAAGTTTCAAATGGACAGCAACTGCCTGTTGTAGAAACCTACAAATATAGAGGACGACGTTTCGAAAGTCTTCTGCCTTTTGTCCTCAGGTGGTCCTCGACAGCAATTGCTGTCCATTTGAAACTTAGATTCATTATGAATACTCTGCCTAAACAACCTATCAAAGGATAGATAATTATTATCAAACTCATGGACACAAAAAAGAACTACCCAATATTTTTTATTTGAAAAATTAACAGTAAATTTATAACTTAGTTTTATTTCAACATAATGTAAACTTAGTTTACATCTTTATATATATTTAATTAGTTAATTTTTACACTTTTAATAAAGGAGGTTCAAGGAAGAAGAAAACCACAAGAAACTTACTTAAAGCTAAATACCCATACTTTGCATGAAGACATGTGTCTTTATTGGTTATCTTTTTCACATACTACTGCATCATTTACATAATTAATGTTAGATTGTTTTGAAATTCCTATTGTATTATTAAAGAAGGCTTATCGGCTAAATGTTTGAAACTGCAGTTTTCAGCCGACTATAGTGATGATTTTGTCATTTAATGTGAGCTTAAGTATTTTCATGTTACGTTCATAGTTTACTTCTGTTACAATAATTCTCTTCTGAATGATACTCTTACTAACTTGACACTATTATAATTCCAATTTTGATGAATTATCTTTATTTTTGATAAAAATCCTACCTCTTCTACTTTAGCATATTCTTCCACAATAGCCTGATAACAAGAGGGATCATAGCCATTCCACCTGTCACGTTTCCCATCATAATCTAACGATAAATCGGGAAGATGTATTTCATCTGGAGCAATGTCTTCCGATGTGAACTTAGCACCAACTTTTCTTGGTCGCTGAGTAAAAAAAAAAATTAAAACACTTAATTCTAATTGGACAAAAAAGTAATGCAGATTGTAACCTTAATAGAAAAAAAATCACACGTGAAATGTTATATTAAATATCAAACATTCAAAATAACAACCATTATTCAGTTTAAAATTAATATACATCCTTTTTCAAGATTAATTTAGAAGCATGCTCTTTCCCATGATGAGCCCCCTTCAGGAAGACTGTACCAGGATACACTCTTCTCCCGTGAAGAAAGGAAGTGTTGCTACAATGGGAGGAACAGCCCAGAAACTGTATCATGCTCAGGGAAGTGCTATAAGTGTAGTGTGGCTAGAGTATATCAGACCGTATATGGTGAGTGAACTCCAGTCCAAAACTAGGTGGCATCGGAAATATGGTTTCAAGTCTGTGGTAGGACCCTCCTCCCTACCATCTGCACGTCAAGCTCAGTGAGGCAGAACAGGCATTTATCATTCAAACTGCAACAGAATGAGGATTTATGTTGGCTGGTTCTCCATCAATCCTACACTAGACTATCCAGGAACTCAATATCTGGACAGTGGTAAAAAGGGGGAAAAGCCAGCCAGAGGGGTGAACTGATACAACATGGGCAGAAAACCACTGACCTACTCTCTACTGAGTGGAAACGGCCACACTCAGAAATCAGCCTCCATTGTCCACCACTCCAGCAGCTAGGAACGTGTAAGTGACAAGAAATCCCATGTTCTACTAAAAACCCTATTTTTAAAAGCAAGTCAACACTAGATTTTAAACTAGACATGAAGAATGAGGAGGGATACCCTGCCTGCTTTACTTATAATAATAAGAAATGACTAAATGATGGAGATAGCATGTGTCAAAGGTGTAAGGAGTTGTCCACAATCTCTTCCAATGGACAACAAAAGTGAGCAGCCAACAAGTGCGTAAGGTGACAAATTTGATGGAAGGACACCTGGAACCACTGACATAATTCCCATCCAACAAAGAATATGCTAAACAGATGAGTTGACTAAGCTATTTAGAGAAGTAATTGGAGAAAGAACACTAGTGGAAGAAGTAATCCAAGTGGCCAGGAACCGCAAAAAGAAGAAGTGCAGGGCAAATAACAATGTAGCACACAGATAGGACAGAAAAGGCAATTATGATTTTAGTAAAAAGAAAGATGAAAAATAGAAGGGAGAGAGACAGGTGTGAACACATGGTCCCCCTCATGTGCTGCAAATGGTTGAGGGAGAAAAGTGCAGTCAGAATGAAGAATGGCACAGGAGCAAGGAAAAATTGCAGGAACAATCGATGTTATACATGTCAGAATGTTGATGACCACAGGCAAAAAGAATGAGGGAATAGGCTTTAACCCAAATAAATTATTTTATTTAGATCTGTTAATTTAAATACAAAAGAATATAAGACCACAACCTCTTTCAATTCAAAGCACTAATCCTAATTCACTTGTAAAGACCTTTCACTCACAAACCAGTAAACTCTTACCCTTAACATTTATGCTTCAAGTATTGTTCCCAACAATATATTTATTTTGAGTTAATACTGCAATAGGGCAATTAAAATAAATAGTTAAATGATACAGCATGTTTATAGATATTATAAAAAAGTAATAAAGTCACATGCCTAACATGCAGATTTTTTCAAGCAAGATTTTAAAGATGTGTAATAACAATGGAAAACACCTTGACCCGAACTCATAGTTTCAAACTAAAATATCAATTTCTATAATAAGCACTACCCTCTTTCCTATTTTGAAATACAGCACACAATGTTTTGACACACGTTTTTGCTTATCATCCTATGGTTTGCCAAATGTGAGATATAATGCACTAAATGAGGTGGTATCGAAATTGACACCTTACAACTTAGATTGGTTAAAACTTTAAAAACTGAGGTTGAACATGCCCAGATGCCATTTTATAAAGAAAGAAAACTGGAAAAAAGGTTTAAATACTTATCACAGATGATAGACCAAGTGGTAAGGTGCAACAGAAAAATCTAAACATTGTTTAATGAAAATGTTTTAACCTTAGAGGGTCTTTATTTACAGTCTAAAACATATTTAAATTTAATATTATAGTATTATTTAAAAACAAAATTTGATAAACAGGTTCAAATAAGTATCTATAATATTTTCAATTCACTAGTACAATTTTGCCCTCGAGGCAAGACAAAATGGATGAGGTAAGAAAAGGATTGGGGGAAAAATTGTATAAGAAAGAGGAAACCAAAGAGTCCCAGGGAGGTGGGGTAAGGAGGGCATAGAGAACAACATTAAAGACACACTCAGGTAAGCTAGAAGGACAGGAAGGGTGATGGAGGTGAAAGGAATGAACAAGCATAGTAAGAAATGGGAAGGAAAGAAAAACTCAGAAGTAACGGGAAAACTGGAAAGTAGTAAAAAGAGCCATCTGGTAACCAACAATAATCAAAACTGATAAGCCCTGGCTGAAGAGCCCAGTGAAGTACACAGACAGATAAGGAACAGAAAGAAGGGGAAAAAAGAACAACAATGCCAATTATGCTGATACACCATGATGGGAAAACAAAAAAGGAAAGGAGGGAGGATACACATGAAAAGAATTCCAAACATCATGCAAGGGACCAGACAAATTCCCCATGTGAAGCTGGAGCCATGATACAGCTAGATGAAAGAGCAAAGTGCAAGGCTGTAGAAGAAGAGAGCAGGAGAACAGAAGAGGACTACATGAGGGAGACTTCACAACAAGATCCAGGGCATCCAGAACATGACAAGCCACAAGGCAGACATGCAGAGAATGAGCCCACAAAAGGAGGTCGAAGGTTCAGAAATAGAGAAAGCCAGACCAAGTGCTCCCTGGTGATTGATATAGGATACCACAGTGGAGTTGTCCATATGAATCATTACCAAATGATCCAAAGCCAAAAACACCTGTAAGAGTACCAGGAGGTTGACATGAAGAGCAGATCCTCCAGGTATAATTGGCCTGAAACCTCAAAGAGTTGAGACAAGTACCCCACCCTGTCAGGAAAGCATCTCCAAATAGAGTGAGGATCCAGTCAAAAGGGAGGAAAAGGAACATCCTCTGGAATAATGGTTCTGTCAAACCACCAGGTGAAAACAGGGAAGAAGGAAGATGGATAAGAGAGAACAAGAGATCCTGAGAGAGGTTCCACGAATTGTACAGAGTCCACTGCAAAAGATGTACATGAGCATGACCCAAGAGAATAAGGGGTGCTATGGAAGTCCCTAAAAGAGAGAGAACCTTCCACACAGAAAGAGGAGGAGAGGATAGAGTTGTGGAAACCAAACTTATCATGGTCAACCAACAAAGCAGAGAAGGCTGAGCTCTGCAGAAATGGGAAATGAAGAATACGCCCAAGGTAACCTGCTACTAAGTGTGTGTGAGATGAGACCTTTCCAGCCTGACCAACCAACCAAAACATGCCATCTCCCATAGAAGAAGAGTATGTATGTAGGTGTCCTATTGGGATGGAGGGAAATATTGGAGAAGGATGAGAAACTTGTTCAATAGTGTTCTTGGCCAATGAAAGATGTCAATGAGACACCAAATCCCATATAAGAGGAAAGGGAATAGAAACATGAGACAGTGGAGGAGGAGAAGAAAAAAACAAAAGGTAAGACCCTCCAATAAACTTAAAGCATGCCAAAGTTAGCCACAAATAGAAGCCAAAAAGCCCCTATTGGCCTTGAGTATATGGGAGAGTCACCAATGTGATTGTCAGTGCCAAGGACTATGCACAGAGGAAGAATAAATGGAAGAAGACGAATGGGAGGAAGAGACAAGGAGAGGAAAAGATGCAGAAGCATGGGAGGTTATAATGGGAACAGAAGGAGTTATGGAGAAAAGGGAGGACAAAGAACAAGGTTGATAAAAGGTTTCAAACTGTGACTCCGGAGAATATGGTACTTCACCAAAAAGATATTGGTGGAGGAAAGGAGCCAAAGATCTCTTGTGATAAGAAGGGAGACAAATGTACAAAAGCAAGAATGGCATCCCTCCCCAACAAATCCCAGTAACAAAGCAACCAAGTCAGAAAGGACAAAGCCAAAAAAAGAATAATGTGCCAATGTAGAAAGGAAAAAAAGGAATGAGTATCTTTCAATAACCCCATAGAGGTACGGTGGATTGCTTCAAAAAGAAGGGAAAGGGAAGAGAAAAATGCAAAGGGGTAGTGAGAGTAAGATGGAGCCATAAAAATTGGACCTGAGAAAGTCGAACTGAAGATAGAGGATCTGACCTCTCAGCCTGAAGAAGAGACTCCAAAGTTTGAGAATCCAAGAAAGGGAATACAGCCCAATGCTAAGCCAAGGCACATGTGACAACCAGGCAAGGAGGAAAAGGCATGCCTGCACCAGAACAAAGTTGAGATAAAAATATCAGGAGAGGGAGGAAAACATAAAAATTAGAAACAGGGGACAAACTAACAAATGAGGGAGAATAATTATATGAGACAGGAGAGAGAGAGAAGGTAACATACCTGAGAAACCATGTCCAGAAATTATGAAAAAGGCCTAAGTAGATCCAAGACAGAATTGGTAAAATATTTGGCAAAGGTAGGTGGTGGGAAAAGACTGTCAAAATCCCCATCATCATTAACAAGATTTACAGGAGGAAGTGTATCTCTATTAGGTTCAGAAGAATAGCTGTCTCTTCCTTAACAGACAAAAAGGAACCCGATATCATCTTAGTTCTTTGTCTAGTGTGAACAATGTTTTGTTGTCGAACACCAGACAAAGTGGCAGTTACTGTCACTTGTGAATTCATAATGTGGAAATAAAACTCCAAAAAATCTGCAGGTGCAGAAATGTTTGAAAGATAAAATCCAAATTTAATATTTACACAAACAGTTGGTATTTTCTGTAGATACTTCCACAATAAATAGCAATATCACAAAATCTAATGAGCGGAAAAAAAAGACACGTCTATATACACAAGTGCCCAACTGAGAAGTGATGGTTGAATTATCAGTAAAGGAGTCAGCTATGTAGGGAGGGTATATCCACTCCTATTGGTGAAGGGTTGTCACACGCTCATTTACATGCAACAATACAGCAATATCATGTGGAAACACATGTTTAGGTGGGAGCCTCAAGGAGGTTATGTATCGTATCAGAATAATTTTTATTTGCTTAAATAATGCACCCAAGAATACAGAATAATAACATGCAGAAAGCAAACAATGTTCTATAACTATTTTGATTAAACAGGCTTTTTAACTAAGGCGAGAGAGGCTTAAACTAATTTCTTTTGCTGCTCGATCTGAGCACCAAGAGATAAACTTCCAAACTGAAGACGAAACAGACAATACTCTGTACTGAAAACAATGTAATATAATACATTATTTGATCAATTAAAACTCTGCCTTTCTATTGGCTCTTTGTGAAAGAAAGGAGGTGATAAAGTGGGTCTGATATTTTAGTTTATGTCTCTGTAAACAAAGAAGATTGAAGGCTATAAATATTACACTTTGCTTTAGTAATAGATATATATTATAATTAAACCCCATACTTCAAAGAGAGGTGGTAAATAAATTAATAGAATGGGACAGACCTGAAGAATAAATGTCACAATTCTCATACAAAGGGAGATCGAGGACTTATTTAAATATTTCCTTTTGAAATTAAGAAATTAAAATTTATATTATATTAAGATCTGATTTATTAAATAAGTTTCGATACTAAGTTTATTTGTATACATTGATAATAAAGTAGTTTAATTAAATTTTGAATGGAAGTATGTGAAAGGTCATGACATGCACACCTTGACATACCTGTAGCGAAATAGTTAATGATAAGAATACAACATTTAACTACACTTTTAAAATATAAATATTTTTTAAAATGCTGTTATAGGATATATAAGTTGTTAGCAATAACAAAAAGCTACAATGTTTCAACTACACCTCACTATCTTAACGTGGCTAGCCTGGTGAGTTGTGGAAGTGTGGTGTTGATTGCTTCATCAGAAGATTTGTTGTTAAGCACAAAGCTACACAATTTGTATCTACGTTCATACTGTAGGTATGAAAAACCAATTTTTAGTGTTATATATATATCTATAGTTTAGTTCAAACTACTGATGCACTCTTTAATGTACTAGTTAACTCTCCTTACACGGCTCGGGCGATTTGACCAACTTGTACTCATTTAAAGTTGTTATAGTTTTGATACTACTAACTTTTAATATAAAGTATGTAAATTTGGCAGCCTTTCACTAAATATTACAAGCCTTTTACATACAAAAAAAATCAGAATTTTTAGTGAAGTATTTTTGCTAAACTAAAAAAATATTTCTCCATAAATATATATATATATAGTCTTTTTTTAGTAGTCTGAGTGCAAAGTTATTTTTGTGTTAAGACCAAAAATATTTCATTTGTGTAATCCCTAAAACCTTCTAAATACATTTTAAACATTTTATTTTCAATAAAACTATGTATTTTATCTGTTATTTTCTTTACCCTAACTCTATAAGAGGTTGGCTAATTTGATCAACCTTGTAAACATCATATGAAAATAAGAAATAAATCTAAATTACTTCTTTTTTTACTTTCTGTAATGACTTCAAATTGTAACATGAAACTATATTTGTTTATCCTAAGTAGCTTTAAACTCATAACAGTATAAATCTATTTATACTTATATTTTATTGTTTTATTGCCCTTTGAACCATGTCTAACTACTATTCATAAGTTAAGTTTTAATCACTTAGGGAACGTGTAGCACATGTTATGGTATCGAATTACATTACTCACAAGTCACTCCGAGCTGCTCGCATGTATACCTCGTTAACATTTTTTATTTTATTATTATTATTTATTTTACTTAATCTAACCTTAACTAAACTAAAGAAATTCCTATTTCTACATTTTACTTTTATAATAATAAACACATGAAAAACAAGAAATAAAGTACTTACTGGAACTTCTCTTTTTGTTGCTGATAACACGTAACCCTACATATTTATACTAATGGGAATAATGCACTTCATAATTTTTTATTTAATTAAATAATGCACCAAAGAACATAGAATAATAACATGCTAAAAGCAGACAATGTCCCATAACTATCACAATTTTTCTGGCTTTCTTACTGTGCAACAAAAGCCGTCATGCATTCATCCAAGCTAGTCAATATGTTTCCCATGGGAACGAAGCTTGTACTGAAGGAGAAATTGACAATTCTATGTTCAGAACATAATGTAACATGATATGTCATTTGATAGATGAAAACCTTGGCTTTCTATTGGCTATAAATAATGCAGTATTAAATTTTGAATGTAACTCACTGAAAACCTTATGACATGTGCAGTAAAGGATGACTGTGGCATGAGAGTTAATAGAACAGCATTAATAACATATTTCTCTGAATTTATCCACCAAATAACATTGTCAATTAATAAAATAAAATAAAAATGTCATAAAAATTCAAAACTTGTGTCAAAAGCAGCTTTAGTTCAAACCCCGAGATAACAAACGCATCTTACATAAATTCTTCGTGGATCATTATCTGAACAAAAAAACCAATACAGTACAATACAAAGTGAAACAATGAAGTAATAAACACAAATTAATGCACTTTACCATGATATTAATTTTCATAAAGTTTGGATGAAAATGGACCAAATGAGATCCAAACACAAACCTCAACACAGTCTTTCTTTTTATGAGTTTTGGCTCCACAGTTCTCACAAGCTCCTTTTCTAAATCTGGAAGCTACTCCAAGCTATAAATTAAAACACTCAGTCTCAGTCTGTGCTTCATTTTTAATTAATTAGAATTATATTATTTTTTACTACCACAGTCTGTTTAAAATATTTACATTTACACACTATTATAAGGTATTCTCTTATGAAATGAGTTGTTAAATATTAAACTTTAAATATCAGGGTTATTGTCTTGGGAAAGTTATAATATAGGGACTTCACAAATGAGTAAGTCAGTTTAAAATGTCTACAATATTCTTATATTCTATAAGATATTCTAGCATAAGCATTTATCTAACATTAAATAGTTGTCAGAATAAATAGCTTTAGTGTTGTTGTTGGGCTTAGGATTCTTCTACAGTAGGTATCTATGACTTGTTAGCGATAAATTCAATGATGATAAACAGCACACACTTCACTTGATTTCAAAATAATATATATATTCAGAACAAGTTAAATGTATGTACAATAAATTCTTCAACACTATAGATATTATAGGTATATCATAAATACTATATATGTAGTTTTCTCCTTCTTGTCAAAAGTCCACTTAAGCCTATTTAATTACTTTAGAATTTCAGTTGAAAAGTTGAACTATCTTCTTTATTACTATCATACTAGTATTCTGTGTGTGGTTCACTTACAATTGTGGCACAAGTTACTGTAATCGTTTGGTCTTCTTTTCTCTGAAGATTCTCTGTTCCTTTTGTCAAAGTGTACCCAGGCTGATTCAATTACTTTACAACCATGCTTTGACAGAATAAATTATTTTTCTTATCTGCTTTTCTACTGTTAGTCTTACTCTAACATATTAAATGTTAGGCCTATCACTTTTACGGTAGTTAACTTCACGACGATCCTTTCCTTGGCCTGTAAGTTTACTCTTTTTTGCTATTATCTGTCTGCTATTTCCACTTGTCTCACACTATTTATATGTCTATCACTTAATTATCTCCCCTCCTTCTATATTCTCAACGTCAATGTATTGCATGTGGCGTTCGATAGTCTCAATATCAATGAATTATAAACACAACTTTCTACAATCGTCTGCTTTTAACTCTTAATATAACAAAAATAAAACAATAATAAAATATTAATTCACAAAAATAAATCAATAATATCTAAACTAAACAGTCTTTTATATCATGACAACAGTTTACAAAGTAATTCAGCCTGACAGACAAACCTACGAGTGTGATAAACTTCTAAGTACTAATTGTCAAGAATAAATATAAATATTTTAAGTTATAAAAGATAAAAACTATTTTGTCCAGAAACTAAATGACAGTTACCGTTTCTCCTCGAACATAATGATCTCCAATGGTACTGAACGTCTTTTGTTTTTCAGGTTGAGGACGCTGATGTTTTAAGGTAGGACCTTTTGACCCAAAGTACCAAGGTGCACTTGCAATATACTGAGGAATGTGTGGATTAATATCTCTGGATAAAAGAATAAAATAAACTAGGCTAAATTCAGTGACTTCATTTGTAAGATTCAAGACAAATTCTTTATAATCATTTATAAACGATGCGCACTCAAACCTTGGTAAAAAACAAAAGCTATTTCAACAATTAAAAACTTCAAAACCTGAAAAGTAATCATCATGTGTACCCCTTTTTTGTCTAGAAAAAAGTAATCGCCTGTGATTATGGCCCTTAGTGTTCTACTCATAAGCTAATCATCACCTGTTACATGGGACTGCCTCAACCTGAATACAGATTTTTACACAATATCACAATTTCACTTGGTTTCAGGGGCCCAGAATTATCTTTACTGATTTTTAGTTTGCTAAGTACAACTTTCTTATTTCCTTGTCTTGTGTACCCACCTGCTGATATGATTTTAACAACTTAATTATATGAAGAGCAGAGTCACCTCAACCTTCACTACTTGTACCTTCCAGAAACTGATAGTTTTAATCTCGTCCTTTACCTTCACTACTTGTACCTTCCAGAAACTGATAGTTTTAATCTTGTCCTTTACCTTCACTACTTGTACCTTCCAGAAACTGATAGTTTTAATCTTGTCCTTTACCTTCACTACTTGTACCTTCCAGAAAATTATAGTTTTAATCTTGTTTTTTGTGCATGATCAATTTGACTAACACATTCACCTCTAGATACTGTGGATCTCTTATCAAAAAGCCTTCTAACAAGCTTTTCACCAGAGTGATCCACATTAATGTTTAGTATGTAGACAAACCACTTTTTATGCATGCCCAGCCTTTAAGATTATTAGTGTCACTCTCTATACCATTTAGGTACAACTTTTCGTTCCTACTGCACTGCTCTTAGTGTAGTCACAAGTTGGAAGATGTATATATAGGACTCCTTTTTATCATACGATAATATATATATATATATATATATTACAAATCAACTGGTCAAGATGGCTGTAATAACGTTTCAATTGATTAAACAATTCTGTAGATCAAATACTCTCCCTCCTCTGCTGAACAGGGGGATGGGTATTCAGGTGGACTCCTCATACCAGGGCCCTAAACTGCCTGAAGTGTTGCTGAGAATCAAAAAATAGGAAAACCAGACCTCTGTGGTCATTTGGGTAAGTCCCCAACTTACTGGCTTAATTCACAGTGGAATCTGTGAGAAGTGACAAACATTAGGGGTCCAATCATACATAAGCAATTTTGAATTTACCTTGAAAGAACAATAATAACATGGCTAATCTAATACAGAAAAAAATTTCTACATCAAACACAAACTTGTACAGCTAAATCCACTCCTAGACTCCAATATTATTTCCCTACTGCCATGAATTTTGGATCTTGGTGCTCCCTTTTTTGCACCCCTAATAATTTCATCTGCATTGGTACACATATATTTAGATAAGTTACAGATCACTTTTGCATTATTTAATTGAATTCTGGTAGCACTGCAATTCTCCATCTCCATTAGTTACAAGTTCAGTTCCCTCCTCTTTCAATGTGGGTATTATAGTAGGGTGTAATACCAAATTTAAAATTAACATCTTATATTTAAAGTGAAGTTCAAAGACCTTTTAGCTCTACTATAACTGATCTTTACCCTCCTTCACAGACTGATGTTTTTAAAAAATAACCATCACAGTAAAGACAGCTGATAACTGGTTTAAAAGTATAATAACAGAAGACAACAATGTGAAGATATTTAATTATTCTGCCTGAAGGAAAATTAAGCAGAAGGAGTGAACTGAATTAGAAGTGGAGAAAGTACGTTTTCTTTTTGGCACAAACCAAAATGTTTTAGTAAAAAAAGTGTAGTGAAATTACCTGTTAGCTAAAGGTTATACTCATTTAGTGGAATTACCTGTTAGCTATAGGTTATATAAGTGTAGTGGAATTACCTCTGTTAGTTAAAGGTTATAAAAGTGTAGTGGAATTACTTGTTAGCTAAAGGTTATATGCATTTAGTGGAATTACCTGTTAGCTATAGGTTATATAAGTGTAGCGGAATTACCTCTGTTAGTTAAAGGTTATAAAAGTGTAGTGGAATTACTTGTTAGCTAAAGGTTATATGCATTTAGTGGAATTACCTCTGTCAGTTAAAGGTTATAAAAGTGTAGTGGAATTACCTGTTAGCTAAAGGTTATACTCATTTAGTGGAATTACCTGTTAGCTATAGGTTATATAAGTGTACTGGAATTACCTCTGTCAGTTAAAGGTTATATAAGTGTAGTGGAATTACCTCTGTCAGTTAAAGGTTATAAAAGTGTAGTGGAATTACCTGTTAGCTAAAGGTTATAAAAGTGTGGTGGAATTACCTGTTAGCTAAAGGTTATATAAGTGTACTGGAATTACCTGTTAGCTAAAGGTTATATAAGTGTACTGGAATTACCTCTCTAAACTGCTTTTTAATTCTAGTAAACATGGACAAAGAATAAATTACACTTTTGAATCAATGACCTTTTGTTTTCACATTCAAAAAATAATATATTGAAACCAGAGTGACAATGAAAGTTTGGAAATTTTCTACCCCTAAAACCCAAAGCAAATTATTGGTTTGCATCTTGTTGAAAAACATCATGTATATTACTCAAAAAGACATGAAAATTAGTAACCTTGAATCTAAGTTTCAAATGGACAGCAACTGCCTGTTTTAGAAACCTACAAATGCAGAGGACAACATTTCGAAAGTCTTCTGCCTTTCATCTTTACGTCAGTGTGTGTGTGTGGTGTAGTTTGATCTTTATAGTGTTCTAGTGAATTGTGGAGAGTGTGTTATGATTGGTTGGTTAAAACGTGTTTCTCATTGAAGGAGAGACTTCCTGTAGCCTCAACCAATGGTTGCCACAGTTTACTCACCTCTACTGTGGCTACCATTGGTTGAGGCTACAGGAAGTCTTACATTCATTATGAATACTCTGCATAAACAACCTATCAAAGATTAGTAACCTTATTAATATAAATTCACGATGCTTACACTTACCATTGCATCCAACAATAAAACTAAACTATATTAGTGTTTTTAGAATATTCAATTGGTAGAATAATGCTCTAGTATTGTTATTTAACTAAAAATCACTCTTGAAAAAGTTAGTAGTGTAATGTAAATCTTGTAAATTACAGAAAGAAAGAAAAAAGCTTGATTTAATCATCCTGTTTTCAACATGATACTTCAGCTTGTAATTTTTCTTTTTATATTAATGAAACTCCTTTCTACAAAGTAATTCTAAAAATCTTCAACATGCATTTTTGGTGCAATGTTACAGTTTTATTAAAGACAAAAATTAAAAGACCACGTGTAATGTGGTCTTAGTAGCTGTGTTTAAACTTGGAAGATTCTGATGGTCAAATCTGGCTTCATTATTTGTGGATTTATTAGATGTTCTTCAAATTGACTAGTTTATTAATACCAGTAATTTGATTTTACAGAACTGGTAGCAAGTAAATAAAACAGCATGAGAAAGATTGGCATTACAAGAAGAGGACGTTTACATAATTCATGAATATCATAGAATAATTATTGACATTCTTAAGTAAATAAAACAGCATGAGAAAGATTGGCATTACAAGAAGAGGACGTTTACATAATTCACAAATATCATAGAATAATTATTGACATTCTTAACTAAATAAAACAGCATGAGAAAGATTGGCATTACAAGAAGAGGACGTTTACATAATTCACGAATGTCGTAGAATAATTATTGACATTCTTAACTAAATAAAACAGCATGAGAAAGATTGGCATTA